CCCCCCGGCGGGAGTATTTTCTTTTTAACTGGTCCGGCCTTCAACTCCCCCCTTCACGGAGCGCGGCGAACCCCCCCCCTGCCCGGCCTCACCTGCCAGCGCCAGGATCTGGGCCTCGTGCAGCAGCAGGCGCCTGGAAGCGGCGCCTCGGTGCTCGGCTGAGAGCGCCTTGGGCGCGGGGTCCGGGCAGACCAGAGCAATCCAACGCTGGGCGGAGGGAAGCCTGGCTGGGCAGGCATGTGGCGCAGTGCAAGCCCAGCCCCAGTGTGCCCCCCCCCCTGCCCGGCCTCACCTGCCAGCGCCAGGATCTGGGCCTCGTGCAGCAGCAGGCGCCTGGAAGCGGCGCCTCGGTGCTCGGCTGAGAGCGCCTTGGGCGCGGGGTCCGGGCAGACCAGAGCAATCCAACGCTGGGCGGAGGGAAGCCTGGCTGGGCAGGCATGTGGCGCAGTGCAAGCCCAGCCCCAGTGTGCTCCCTGCCTCTCTGCCCCCTGCGGCGGGCAGGGGAGACCCGGGGTCAGGGAGTCCCGTGCACACAGCAGTGCAGCAGGCACGCGCCACGTGGCGGAGTGACTCTGGGTGCTGGGGTGTTTTAGCATCCTCCATAGGTTGGCGCCCCAGGCAGCTGTCTGGCTAGCCCGCCCCTTAATCCGGCCCTGGTCACGGGCCGCACAGTGAGCCCCTGCGGGCCGCATGTTGTGCAGGCCTGTTATACAGGAAGGCTATGTGTTCAGCTCCTCTGGAACCTAGTGTGGACTGCAAGGTGAACTGGTGATCTGGAATTCATGTGCAAATTTAACACGATCATAATGGGTCTAAATAGAGACCAAGAATGGCTCTAAATAGAGACCGAGAATGGCTATCTTATTACAATAAGTAATTTCCCCCTTTAGTTATTTTCAACTTCTTATCGCTGTTGGACGTGGGCCATATCCACCCTGATTGAATTAAACTCATTAACACTGTTGTAACACTCCCATCTCTGTATGTATATGCATATATATCTCTGCCATCTGATTCTTTCACTTCTTGCATCTGAGGAAGGCAGCTGCCTCACAAAAGCTTATGTCCTCATAAATGTGTAAGTCTTTAAGATGCCACTAGGCTCCTTGTTGTTTTTGCTGAAACAGACTAACACAGCTACCTCTCTGTAGTTTGAAGGTTGCCAGACTTCTGGTGGCCCAAAGGTCCCTGGGTTGGAGCCAGTGCACTAGGAGGGCCTCTGGTTCCCTCCCCACAACTCCTTGGCAGTCGGGGTGTGTGTCTGACATCGCCAGGCCATGCTCCCCAACCAGACCTAACGTGAGGACCATTACAGTTGCTCATAACTTTGCCAAACTTCATTCTTATTATCTATTGTTTGTATTATCATAGGAGACCCACTCATGGATCAAGATCCTATTGTGCTAGGTGCTATACAAGCATAGAACAAAAAATGGTTTATCTAAGCTAATTGTTTGGGCAGACATTTTCTGTGGTGGAGAAAATTTTTCAGAAAGTTTCAGCTAAAATGGTTTTGAGAACAAAATTAGAAAAAAATACATTGTTTTCCATGTATTTTAGAAAATTCTTGCAACCATTTAATTGAAAAGCTATAGCTATTCCTTGCTTAGGATCAGTGGCTTGAAATGTGGTGGGAGAATGGGGTTGTCCCAGTGTCAGGGATATATCTTCTGCTCTTCCCATGAAAAACCATCTACATCGGGCCAAGTTCTAAGTTTTTTTTTTGGGAGGGAGGGAGGGGTAAGAACCTCTTAGTTTGAACATACTCAGTAGAAACTTACTTTGGCAGCTAAATGATCTAAAGATTCTGTCTGTGCTAAGCATGCTCCAGTCTCCAGAAGGAAGACTCTCTCCTGTGTTCTCAGTAAAACCCGCTGCTGGAAGCTAGACAATGAGGCAGAGGAGGGAGGAGGAAGTTGTCATCCTACAATGCAGAGGTGATGAGAAGTGGGGTGAGAAGAGAGGATGAGGGAATTAATTGGTGGGGTCAACTGAGGCGCTGGAGCAATCCTAATTTTGGCATTTCCTAACATCTGAGTGTTTGATTCTGCAGTCTTAATGTTCTTTTAACATCAGTTTTGATGTAATATATATAGTAGTTGCTGTATATGCAGACATTAGAGGGTATGAAGCGTTACAGATCATCTTTATGGCACTATTCAAAACCCATCGGAACAAGAATTAAACGTATCATATGGCTTTAATTTGTAATGTTGCTACCTGATGCCTCTTTCCTACTACCTCTTTAAGCATTTTATTGTTGCATTTGCATTACTTGAACCAGGCCTATTCTTAATACTCAGCCACTTACATGTATTTGGAATATTTGCACTTTTGGGTTTCTTTACAGAGTTGTATAACGGCATTTAATTTTCAAAGTTTTGTTTGCTGAATATTATCACACGTTGTTAACACGTATGGGTTTGTAATGAAAAAGGAAAACCACCCCACACAGATTTGTTGCAAACTGTAGATACAGAAGTATGCTTCCTAAAACGAAACTCTCTGCATTGCAGGTGTCCTCCCAGGGTCTACCTTGGAAGCTAGATCTGCAGGTCTCCAAAGATGATTGTATCAAGATTAAAGGGCATTTCTCTGTCACTAGCAAGCCTTTTCCTTCTCACTTTTCATCTCTCGGCATCACAGAATGCACCCGAATACCCTGAAACCGAACAGCAGCAATGTGTCAGAAGAGAACACCCCACCATTACTTTTGAAGGTAAGAGTTGTCCTCCCCTGGATGGCTTAGCTTGATTGCAAGGTACAGTAGGATAATCTTCTCTGGAGTCCTTCCTTTAGTGCTGTGTTGTGGAAAGCAGTGAGTCAGAGCAGAGAGCTGGGAGATAAGACCTCAAGGTTTCTCATCCCCATTCTGCCACTGACTCTGTGCAATCTCGGAAGTCCCACTGACTTCTGCTGTAATTTCCTCCTCCGTAAGTAGGTTCAGTGATGCTTATAAACCTTACAGAGCTAATGTGGGCCTTAATTCATACTTGTAAAGCATTTCCAAATATTTCAATGGAAGGCACATTTCTTATTTTGACAGACCAAGACTATTGAGTATACAATCATAATAAAATTGCAGGTGTTGGTTACCATTTTTGTTGTTTTTTTTCTGCCTACATTTGTAGTCATTGCCAGTGTTTTTTGTGACCTCCATCCCAACTCTGGCCTTGATAAGATGATCTTAGATGCAAAAGAGCAGTTTGTTTAGCTGCAGAGGCCTCACATAAAAACATCAGAGACCTCTTTCTGGTGTCTTGCAACATAAGAATTCCCCTGAAGAGCTGGGTTCTTATCCCAAATAAATGGTCCTTGTCGTTTTATGTGTAGAAGCGGTACCCCTAGGCTTCGTTCTGTCACTGTTTCCACCTACCTGCCCATGTAGGTACATGACCCTCATATCTGAGCACCTATTCTGTCTAGTGTAAGAGGTTCTGTACACATCAGTGTTTCTCAACTTTTTTTTATAAAGTATCCCCCCCTTTTTTTAAAAAAAAATAAGTACCCCTAATACCTACAGTTTTCAGACACACAATTTTTTTTCTACCATTACAACACATTTGTTTAAACAGCATAATTGTAGCCAAGCAGGCAATGACATTTTTGGGTGTAAAAAGTACAAAAATAATAAAATGCTGTAAAACTTAAAACAAAAATTCAGTTTTCTCCAAATTTCAGTTGTGTTGACATATCCCCTGAACTTCTCTCGAATACCTCTAAGGGTACTCGTACCACTGGTTGAGAAACACCGATGTACACCATTTAGTGTGTTGAGCTTCCTTGTCAACTGTAGCTTCCTTGTAAATGTTGAAGTATTGATTTTGGTTCCCCTTTGGGGGATTTTGCAGTGTGTCCATGGTTAGGCTCTTTGCTGAGAGCATCTGAGTGAGGCTTCTGTGACCTTTGAGATGGGGTGTCTAGGGAGAAAGGCAAAATTGAAGGGTGCCTTGCTGACCTTTTAGGGCTCTTGTCTAAGGCTTTATGCTTCCTCTGAGGTAAGGAAGCCATTGTCTATACATTTGGAAACAGTTTTCTTGTCTGTTTTCCATTATCCATGCTTTAAAGGTTTAAGTGGATTAAAGTAAATTAACAGATCTTTAAGCCTACATAATAAGGCACTGACTCTAACCTTGTTCTCCTGGAATGGATAAATAAACCTTGATTTTTAATTGCTTAATAACGCTGACTGTCTGCTTTATTGGGGAAGGGTGAAAAAAGAAATCCCTGAGGTTAAAAAATGAGTTGCAACTCCATCAGCTACTTAAACAAATAATACAGTAATGAGCATATTACAAGTACAGAGAGAGAAAGAGAGAGAGAGAGACAAAGAGAGAGAGTTGTCATCTTAATATTATCCAGAAGGCATTGAGGTTTTTTGTTTTACAGAGAGCCAGGTTGTAGGATCCATGTTTAAGATGTTACCTTCTGCAGATCATGTGAATTTTAGAAGCATATTTCAACCCTTGATCCTGAGAAGTCAGTTGGAGTTGATGCTCAAAATGAGTGTTTAGTTTGCCAGACTGCTTTGTTAAACAGGCATGTGAGGAACACACACACACACACAACCCAACTGTGCATTCCTTTTTCCTTTTGCTGCACTTTCTGGTATGGATTAATTAGAGCCTGGCAATTATAGAAAAGAAATAGAGATGAAAATTACAGCCAGCTCAGGCAACTGTCCTCACATGGGTCCTCTAAACCCTGGTTAGATTCATGGTTATCGTTTGTTTTGTACATCTGCTTACGGGTGATTGTTCAAGATACATTGTAGTCTTTTGTGTTTGCTCTGCTATATAGTCCTGCTGTACTGCAGATCTTCTGTAGTGAAAATATGCAGAATGAAATTAATAAGGCATGCCAATTCCTGAGCTGCAAGCAGCACTCCAAGTCCATGGAAGTGAGCGCTAAATATCCAAAAAGCACAGCACAGCTCTTTGTCTGATTTACCTTAAGGCCCCAACACAAGCTGTCATGGAAAGTGTTGACCACATTGGGAACCACTGCAGTTCCACTGTGCAAGGAGAGCAGACTGGAGAATCCACATTTTACGTGCTGCAAAGTATTGCTCTGTGAAGACTGTTTCCATGGCAGCTCGGAGCAGGAGGGTGTCGGCTAATAAGTCCCCAAGTATGTTGTTTCAAGTATGTTGCCATCAGAGGTGCAAGTAAGCCAGTGCGCCCTGGTGAACCATGCTGGTAAGAAAGAGCTGGTGGGCTTGGCTGTAGCAGGAGGCAGTGTGCTTTTAGCTGTGTTCCCCAGGGCAAGCTGCTGTGCTAAGCAGTGGGCAACCAGGTAGGTTAAAGGGGGATGACTGGCGTCATGATCCCACACTGGTCTGGGACTGTCCCAGCTCCCAGCCCTACCCCCTGTGCTATTTAGGGAGGGAACGAGGGTGGGGGCTCACATCTCCTGCCTCCCAAAATTCATACCCGGAGTCTGCTTACTGTTCCTCTTCTGGTCACTGTCGGGGAGCGAGAGGAAAGCTCACAGCATGGGCCACTGGCTGTGTGCTTTCCCCTCGCTCCCTGAAGGGAAGGGTAACAGCGAACAGCGTCGGAGAGGAAAGCTCACCCGTACTCCACTCTCTTTCCTGTGCCTTTTGAGTCACTTTTGTGCCTGCCACTTGTTATGAGGTTGGTGCTATTAAGGATTATTTATCCATTCCACAAGAACAGAGTTAGTGCCAGTGCCCTGTTCTCCAGGCTTAAAGATGTATTTGTACTTTCTGCAGCTCCTGGATCCGCCAGCTTAGCCAGAAGTCACTTAAGCCCAGGTTTTCATGTGAGATTCCTACTAATTCTTACCTTTGTCTGGCTTTGTTTGGTAAATCATGCCACCTTCTTTATTAGTTAGAGCTAAGAAAGAATTTTGCTTAAATGAGTTAACAAATCACTAGGGTCTCTTAGGGTGAACACACCAGCTGAGAGGAAAGAACTGAGACATGTGGGGTGTTTTTATAGGCTAAGAAGGACATAGTTGCAAGAGTCCCTTGTTTCAGTATTGGTAGTGCAGATTTCCTAATCTAGCTCTTCTCCTCAAGCATGCACGGTCTGGGGACTAGAGCTGGCGATATGTTGAAACAGACCAAGTGACTCACGGGAGGCCCCCTATTCCTTATTTGTGTGTGCGTGCGTGCGCGGGAGTGGAAGGGATATTCCTGCTAAGGGCCTCACTTGGGCTGGCACTGTGGGAACTGTCAGCAACACTGCCTCAGCTGACCTGAGCCATCAATGCGGACGAACAGAGAAGAGGTGGACTGATCTAGGGAATTGAGATAGTTAGGTCCCTAACCACACAGAGTATTACATATGACAGCTATCCATATCCTATGTAAACCACTGGTGAAAATGTCCCTGCATGCAAAATTTGGCCTCTTTGAAGATACCTGATCTCCCCTGAATCTTGTTCAGGTGTGTTTTCTGTTGCTCTTGCCTGGTGTGTTTAAAATTAATTGATTTGGGAGTGTTCTAATCTGGAGTTTTACTTGGGGGTGTTGCGTAACTGTTCCCTACTACCAGATGAATATAAGTTGGGTAGCATGACTGTAGCTTGCTGTATATTCGTACATTGGTCTTATTTTTGTTTTAAACAACATATTTTTGGAAACTGGCCAACTTGCAAACATTGAGCTCTATGGGGATCTATTAAGTGTGTGCTTGTTGTATGGAAACAAAAGGCTGTTTTAACTCTGTGTGGTTGAATGATAATGGGGTTTGATTTATTTCCCTTGGATTTGCATGAAATTCTGCCAAACACCCCCACTGCAGTTGAACTTTGATGGGGGGGAGAAACCCCATACCGTCGTCAGTGAACTCACCTAGCTATGAAAAGCCCAGAGGAAATTTTGCTAAAGATTTGCATTCATGTTGAGTGTGCTTGATATTTTTTTGGTATTCCTAACGAAAAATGTAGTTAACAAAGAAGGAGAGTTGTGGGATGAAATCTGGGAGTTATTACTGGCCAGATACCATGGGGGAAACCAAAGGTACTATGGGGAAAATCCATCGCCACCCTGGAATTTCCATTAAAGGAGTTGAAATTTTAGCTAGTAACGTCACATTGACTGGAGACCAACAATAGCATTTTCCTAAGACTGCAGTGGTGTAGAATATTTGACCTCCAAGGCATTTTGCAATGGATTTCTTTTCGATTAGAAAATCTCAAATTATTTTTTTTTTATTTTGAAAATGGAACTCCAGCAAATGAGGCTGATATTTTCTTCCTCGGGGCTAGTGTAGAATTTGTTTTGAAATTATCAGAAATAAAGCCACAAATAATTAAGCAATGATTAGGAAGGTAACTTTGCTCTAGGGCAACCATCTGAAAATCTCACATAACAGCTTTCTACTCCACAGTATAATGTGTTTTTTTTTTTTTTTTTTAAATACAGTAATATTTTTTCTTTGGTGCTTACTCATCAATGGTGTCCTACAAGCTTTGCAAATAAACACCACAAGAACTGATAAAAATGATTCAGTGTGCTGAGCCAAAAGGTCTCTGGGATGAAAAGGCTCTGGGAAAAGTGCCCTTCATTCATAAAATGCTTTAAACAGAGCGAGTCACTCACAAGCTGCAGAGAAAAGGAAGATTTTGGATTTTAGAAAAGGTGAGATTAAAGGAGAGGGGTGTTTCAGAGCCCCAGTCCACCAGTTTTTCCCACTAAGTGCTCCAGCACAGCAGTATCCACTGATGATGCTGGCCCAGGGGTGTTTCTGG